AAGGCAGCAAGGAAAGGCCACTGTTCCTGTAACGACAGGAGGTGGACTAAGTAGGGCTGGCCCATGGACCCACCAGTGCGAGATCTGGCACTGGGAGAGGTTCTGATGGAGGAGCCTGGGCAACTCTTCTGTTGGGACATAGTCCCTGCAGGTGAGCACAAGAGCCACAAAATGGAACAGCCCAGGCCAGACCAGGGAAATGTACCCAGCAGCATACATTTGGCATAGGTCGAGGGCAGACCAGGCTGAACGAGTTTACATCAGCTGCTGACGAATCTGAGCACCGGAACTGAGTGTGGGTCAGGCCAGATTCGGGTGCAACACATACCAGTACACATTACAGCTGGGACTGGGTGCCTGCTGGGCTGGGCTAATCTGTAACCCTCATCAGCATCAGCTGGAATTGGGGTGGGCCAGGCCAGGTTACAGCACCCACTGGCAAAAGTCGAGGCGAGGCAGGCCTTGCCAGACTGGGTCTCAGCACCCAACCACCACATGTGAGAAATGGGGCATGCAGGGGAGGATGCAAAGCTGGTAGGGAGAATGTGGAGGGCTCCCATGCTGGACAACCACTCCCACTGGAGAGTGTGAATTGAGATGGGGGCAGACCAGACCAGGCAGGGCTACAATACCTGTGGGCCTCATGTGAGCTAGATCAAGGAAAAGCCAGGTTGGGCTGACTGTTCCGACTGGTGCAAGCATAAATCAGAGACTGCGAGGGCTGATTGGGCTTTGTCGCAGCATCAGCTGGCAGATGCTGGCACTGGGGGCTAACTCTGTCAAGTTAAACTGCAGAACCACCACTAGAGTGCATGATCCTGGAGTGGGAGTGGCTCAGTAGGGCCTCCCTCCTGGGTTACCACTCCCACTGGAAAGCACAAAAACCAGTACAGGGGCAGGGGTAGCTAGACAGAAAGGCACCTGCCAGCATGTGTGTGGGCTGGATAGTAGGGCTGGTTGGGTTGAACTAGGCTTCAAGGTCCAGTGATATGTATAAGAGCTAAATGGGATGTGGGACAGACTGGGCCAATCTGCGGTACATACTGCCAAGCACGGGAGCTGTGATGGGGGCAGGCATGGTGGAGGTTATAGGAGTCACCCCAATTAGGCTGCAGCTCCCACTGGTTTGCATGAGGGCTGAGTGTGAAGTGGGCAGAATCAGGCTTGACTGCAACAGCCATTGGTTTATGTGGAAGACAGAGTTGTAAACAGAACTGACCCAGCAATGGCATCTACCACCATATACACAAGCTGATTGGGGCAAAGGACTGTATTGAATCCTGTACTGACAATCACATATAAGGATCAGGTCTGGGATCACCTCAGACGAAGTTTCTTGCGGATTCCTTCAACTGAACTGCTGATCTCAGAACCCCAACCATGAGATTCTGAAGAGTTTTCATTGTGCTTGGAATGGCGAGATTGGCAGCAATTCAGAACTGTTGAACTATCAAAACTGCTTGAGCAGGACCCTTGGAGCATGCCTAACATCGAGGACATGGGATGGGTGTGAGGCTCGGTGGGACTTCTCCCTTTATCTCTCCAGCCCTTATCCCAGATATAGAAAATAATAATAATATTAATGTGGAAACAACGGTCTTACCCACTTTCCTGTAGCCCTTGACCCTTTGTACCCTAATCAACTTGTAAAGATTATCAAACTAAAAGCATTAAAAATGGAAAAAAAAAAGAATTAATTGTTGGGAAAAGTACTAAGAAAGACAAAAGACAGGCCTCAAGGGAGAAAAAGCAGGTTCTGGATCAAAGAACTCATGCATTTCTGTGTACCACCTTCCGCACCCAACTCCTTCCCGCCTTCCCTCCGCTGACGCCTCCGCTGGAGTCTGGGGAGGAGCAGTGAAGGGAAGAGCACAGTGGACCATTGGCTCACTCCTTTCCCAGCACTCACCCGAAACCAGAAGACCCGGGAAGGGTCCAAGGTCCAGTCCTGAAATACCTTAGGTTTCGTGTTTCTACCTCCTCAGGGAAGACCTGGTGGACGGCTACAGGCCGGGTGCGGTCCCAGAACGCGCTGCAGCCCCTCGAGCAGGCAGGGTGGCTGCTGGTAGCCCAGAAGCTCGGTGCCCAGGTCTTGGCACCTTGCAGCGGCGGCTCGGGAAGGACCCGGAAGGGGGTTCCTGGGGGCCGCTCACGGTGAACCCGAGGGTCACAAAGTATGGGGGGCGGGTCCGTTCCGACAGCCTCCCTTGGAGCCTCCTGTGGGAAGGAGCTGCCAGAAAGGGCGTGGCGCGGAACGCGAGCGACCGGGAGGAGGGTCACGAGTTAAAGCGGCCGGGGAGGGAGGATGCCAGGCTCCCGTCCGCGGGTGCCCCTTGAGGAGGAGGAGAAGGCGCGTTGCGTCGGGGGCTGCGGGAGCGGCGCGCAGAGCTGCCGCGGCCGCGCGGCTGAGGAGACCCTGTCGCCTCTCCGCCGGGTGCGCCCTCAGCGCCCGGGCCGCAGGTGAGCCGCGCTGGCGCCGCCCGGAGGCCCCAGGTGTCGGGGAGGGGCCGTGAGGTCGCGGGCCGGCGGCGTTCACCTCAGGCGCTAGGCTCGAGCGCCCGGACGCCAGCGCCATGGCGGGCCCCCAGGAGCCTGCGGGGTGCGAGATGCGGCTGGTGCGCACGGTGCCGGCTCCGTCTCCAGACAGAGGTCAGCAGGGTGCGTGCGGGCCGGCGTCGGGCCGGGCCCGGTGCTCGGTGCTCAGCTGGTGTTCCGCTTGGACCAGAGGCTTCTGCGCTCGCAGGCTGACGGCTTGGGAGCAGGAAGGCGTCCCCAGCCCAGAGCCTATGGCTTCAGCGGGGTCCGGCAGGTGGTCCCGGCCCCGACTTTCTCAGACGTCCCTAGCATGGAGGCGTAGGGACGAATGGAAAGTGGGGTTAGGGCAGCCGTCTAAAGGAGATCAGAGTCGGGTTCTGGGGTCGCATGGCACTCGAAGATGGGGAGAGTGTGGAGAAGGCGGTAGAGGAGAGATGGAAGGAATTAGAAATCGGCGAAGGGGAGTTGGAGGCGGGAAGAAAGCCCTTTTACACTAAGGAGGGTGCCTTGCTTGGTGCCCTCCTGTGGGGTTTTTACCACCAACACAGGCTCTCTGGCCTTCTTTAGTTGTCTGCGATTCAGTCCTGCTAAGCGTCTGCCCACCATGAATCAATCAGGAGCGTGTGCCAGTCTGAAGGTTGAGCCAACTTGGTGCCAGGCTGAAATCCAGGACCACCCCGCCCCGCGGCCCCGCGGGTGCCCCTTGAGGAGGAGGAGAAGGCAGAAGCTGGGGAGGGGCACACTTCGCAGATTGGAGAGGGCACTGTAGTTTGCAGCGAGTTCAGTCTGCCCCTGTGAAAGACTTTTCTCACTTCCTGGACAGCTTGGTGAAATGTGCTGAAGGCCGAGACTGGTTTTCTCTTGTGTTCCTGTGGGTTTTACTGTGAATCGGTGTTGCTAGTTTGTTTAAAGCTTAACGCTGTCCCCCTCCCCATCAATGCGGAAAGGCCTTAATGTGTCCAACATACTTCATTATCTCCCATTTCATTATTGTGCAGGATTTTTGTTCAACATAGAATTATTTCTGCTTCATGGATAAAATCTCCTTCATTGCTGGCTAAAGTATGCTACCTTCTTGAAAAGGGAAGCTGTTCTTGAGTAAAAATTCTAAGGGATTAATAACTTTTTCTCCATGGTGCCTTTATCCTTTGTTAACGCCAGATAAGAGTGAGACAGCCAGCATGCATGCATGGTCATCTCCCTGCTGTCAAAAGCAGGGCTGGATGAAACAGAAGGGCTGAAGCTGGGGGCCAGGAACTCAGCCCAGGTTTCCCACCGGGGTGGAAGGGACCAGAGTACTGGAGTCCTGTCTGGTACCGGACAGGGTGCCCTGCCAAGGAGCTGGAATCCAGATCCCATCCAGGACTTGCTCTCTGATCCTCTGATAGGAAATTCCAGTGTCTTAGCCATTGTATATGAGTTGGAACTTACACTTTGACAGGCTTCTTGCCACAAATACACAGGAACCATGCTTTAATTCTGAGAAGGTAGTACATAGGCCTGGGAAATATGCTTTTTTAATCATCAGGATCCTTGTTAATGTTTCATAATCAAGAGTTTAAAAACTGTGGCGAGTGTTATGGTGCAACTGGTTAAGCTACCGCTTGGAACTCCTGCATCCCATTTGAAGTGCCCATTCAGGCAGATAGGAGTGAGTGGCTGGAACAGAACTGAATTGAAATTTGAGTGCCTCGGATGCTGTGTGTTGAATATTTCAGCTCCCAGAGGCTGCCAATTCCCTGTAAGAGGCTTGCTGGCTGTTCTGCCGGCAAGAGTTGGGGATCAGGAAGTTTGGGTGTGTGGTCCTTAGCGAGTGAGGGCTTGATTTGCATTTGTGTTGCTTCTCTGGTTTGAGGGCTAGCGGGACTACTGCTGTTTTCTGGGAGTGAAAGCGCAGCCTCGAGGCAGCCAAGTGACCTACCTCAGATCACTGAAGTGTCAGGTTGCAAAAGTAAGACTGAAAACAAGGCCACATCTAGGTTTTCTATGCCCTACTTACCTTTTAAACTCAATGTTTCTAAATCTCTCTCTTTTTTAGTAATGTGATAGAAGTCTTAGTTTCTTTCCAGAGGGAAAAAATACCCTTTTCTTCATTTGACCAAATTTTGTGTAAAATTTCAGAGCCCATCAGCTTCTGGAGTCTTACCCAGGCTCTCGCTCCAGCCTGGGACCTGACTATGTCTATTGGTGGAGGAGGCAGGCAGCATATGTATCTATCCTATAATGGATACACACAAATTCTTAGGTTCATAGGAGCAGTCTTTGAAAATGATTGCTTCAGCCAGATACACATTCATTTAAAAATGTAAACGAGTATACAAACATCTTATATTCCAAGCTGTTTGAAGTGTAGGCAGCATGGTGATGTGATTTAAAACCAGATCTTTGGTTGGATAGCTCTAGCAGACAATAAGGATTTGTGCCTTTACTCACTCAGTGCAAATGTTCTTATTGTATTTTTCCTTCCCTAGAGATGGCAAGTCCTGAGGTAGTGATAAGTAGTTGCAGCTTTCACGAAGAGGAAAATGGCTGTACTTTTCAGCAGCGTTCATCTCCATCTGTGGAGCTCTTGCTGGAGGACCAGATGAGGCGAAAACTCAAATTTTTTTTCATGAATCCCTGTGAGAAGTTCTGGGCGCGAGGGAGAAAACCGTGGAAACTTGCCATACAAATTCTAAAAATTGCCATGGTGACTATACAGGTAAGTTGTGAGTTCAAGTTGTAAGTTTGGTGGAAAGCTCTGTCACTAGCCAAGAACGTCAGGCAGTGGGCTTTATAATTTTTAGCACATAATAAGGAACCATAAAGACAACCTTAAAAATTCATCTCTTTAATAGATGAAACTATTTTCTTCCTTCCATTTCATCTTAATTGGGTTGTAATTTTAGTCATGTAATCTAACTAGATTTTAGAAAAATTTAGTGTTTGCCTTCTAATCAGGTTCAACTGAGAGTTCCACATGGTTCCATGAGATCCAGTGATTCTCAGCCATAGTACTTTCTTTTTCTTTCCAGTCAGTTCTTTGGAAATTTCTCCCCTTCTGAAACTCTAAGCTCTTTGTGACAGAAAAGGTCTTGGATTTTCTCTGCCTCACGATTCTGGGAATAGAGAGGTGGAAGTGAAGTTAACTAAAAAGAAGTGGCATTATTTAATGAATCATGGAACTTTATTTTTTAACAAAAATTTTGAATATCATCTCCTTGACTCCTTTTAACAATTTTTGGAGAAAGTATTTCATGATTCTTGAATAAACTGATTGTGATTTATTCTGATGAAAAATGTTTTTGTACTGGCAAGAATAATAACCTTATTAAAAGCAGATGTGTAAAAATATAGGCAGAAAGGGGGGAAATAGGTGTGATAGGTGTATTTTACTGTTATTGTTGGTTAGGGTGGGCTTAGTCTGTCAGATTTGAGCACCAATTCTGACAACATACTTGCTGGTGATGCAGTTTGAAAGGATGGCAAAGTTCTCTGAGACTCTACCTGCTCATCTCTGATATTGTTGTATTAGAAACTTTGCTATGGAAATAGTATGAGGAAATTTCCTGGGTTAGTGTGTGAAATACTACGTGTGAACATTGCCTCCTTCTGGGATCAGAGTCAGGTTGTATTTTCTGAGCTTAAAACCTATACCTGGTGTTGTGGGGGAGAGTGAGAGACAGTTTGAGGTTGCTTGAAAGAGAATAAAAGATAAAAGAGATACTTGGAGTAAGTAAGTTTTGGATGTGATGAGAGCAGTGGAGTGAAATCACTGTGTGTGTGAGAGAGAGAGAAGAGAGAGAGAGTGAGAGGAAGAAAGAGAGAGAGGATATATGAACAGCTGAATATAGGTGAAGCTCGGGGATCAATCTTTCACTAATATTAAGGACACATTAATGTGAGTATACTTTGATGATAACTTGAAAATGTATTTTCCATTTTGGGTTTAATTGTCACAGCTTTGGCTGTTAGACCTAGGTAACCAGACCTGGTTTGGTCATAGGACCTCGGGTTTCTTATAAGGTGTCATGCACCTGCTACAAAGCTGTTTTTGAATTCCTGCAGAACTCATATTAAGCTCTTCTACTTGTTATTCAAGCAGCATCTCTTCTAGCTCCCCTTTTTCTGCTCACATTTTTCATTTCTTACTCTTGTTTTTTTTCTCTCCTTTTAAGCTGGTCTTTTTTGGGTTAAGTAACCAGATGGTGGTGGCTTTCAAGGAGGAGAACACTATAGCCTTCAAACACCTCTTTCTGAAAGGATACACAGACCGAATGGAGGACACATATGCTGTGTATACACAGCACGATGTGTATGATCAGATCGTCTTTGCTGTGAACCAGGTAAATCAAGTGTGTGTCCTTTAGTTAGGAGAAAAAACTGACTAGAAATATGCTGCCTTTGTATACATAGAAATTAATATCCAAATGTAGAAGGGTGGAAGACTCTGAATAAGATCAGTTGTAAAAAAATGCCCATAAGTTTTTGCCTAAAGCTTTTGCTTAGCAGTAGAGATCTGGAAACTTTAAACATTTAATTAAAGTCAGGGTGAGGGCTTGCCACAGAAGCCTCAAAGATTAAAATTACTAACCATGACTCAGGTCAAAAGTGATCATTAACTCTGTGAGCTTGTCCTTTTAGGGAATTCTAACAAATACTGAGAATATTAACTTTGCAAAGTTTGTGTAGCAACCAAGACCTAAAATTCATTAAAAATGCTTGGCCTATCACACATACCAGTAATTTTGTTGTGACATTGACTAACTGCCAAACAAAAAGGAAGCTCATTTTTCATATGGATGAGTTATATTTTTGTTTTGTTTATAATCATCTGCTTTTGCTTTAATTATTGCTTTTTTCCCCATAATTTCACGTTTCTTATTTTATAATTATTCTTGAAGTCAGTACTTCCAACCTGGATTAGCTTACAGATTACATTTTAAAATATTACAACTGTTCTTCAAAACTTTTGGTAATTCAGTTGTGGCACTTCATTTTCTAGGAATAGTCTATGCACAGTGAGATGGAAAATTACTAGAGTGTAAGCTTTCTGTTAGCATTGAGATTGGGAAAATTGTCCAGAAATTTATGAGAATAGAAGCAAGCTACATTGTGTGTGTGGGAGTGAGCTATAGGGGCAGGGGAAGTGGTGAGGGAGCTTTATAGAGGTAAATTTATAAGTGGTGAATTCTTTATAAAACATCTTTACCTTTCCCAGAAGTCCTAAGTTTTCCAAGTTTCCCCAGTTTTCCAAGTGTAGTGCTTGGCATTCTGACCATTCAGTTTACCAGATTCTCACGTTATTTACAGAAACTCATGTTAGGTTCTTATCCCAGTTTCTTTCTTTTTTTTTTCTTTAAAGATTTATTTATTTTTATTGGGAAGGCAGATTGAAGGAAACTTATTAAAGGGCAGAGAGAAGAAGAAACAGAGAGAAAGATCTCTGCTGGTTTACTCCCCAAGTGGCCACAACGGTCGGAGCTGAGCCCATCTCTAGCCACAAGCCAGGAGCTTCTTCTAGTTCTTGTATGAGGGTGCAAACATGTGGGTCCATCGTCCTAAGGCTTTGGGTCATCCTCTACTGGTTTCCCGGGCCTCAGGCAGGCAAGTGGATGGGAAGTGAAGCAACCAGGACACGAGCCATGCCCAAATGGGATTCTGGCATGTGCAAGGTGAGGATTTAGCCACTTAGCCTTCCTACCAGCCCTATCTTGGTTTCTTGATGTGTTCTTGCTGTTAGAACAAAATATTTGGGACTTGATAATTTCAAACAACTGAAATTAACAGATACAGAGCAGACTAGAAAGTTCAATTTGAAGATATCAGCATAGCCAGAGCTTCCCCTTCTTGCTATACCATAATGTCCTCTCAATACCAACATAATGGGGATTAAGTTCAAGTGCATGCATTTTTTTGAGGGATATGTATCTCAGATCCAAGTACTACCACATAAATAGATAATGCTAATTGTGGTAGTTTACCTTGAGTAGGTGATTCCCTATTGTCTTCCAAGTATTAGTAGGCACTTTTAACTGAAGAGAAAGTATTTTGATCATAATTTTAATAAACAAGTAGAGTTTTGGGGATAACTTTGGGATCCCTTAATGAGTGATCCCAAAGAATTTAACCCCTAGGTATTAGCTAACTGGATAATTTTTAGGACCCATTCTGATTCAATACTGTGATGATAAGAATATTTCTTTTTGTTTATTATATTTGCTTCCATATGTGAATGTCAAAAGCCTAATTATTTTGCTTTTCATATCTATTAGGATTTTAATATGTCCTATAAAAGCTGAAGTGTTAGAAACATAATATCCAAGATCATATGTCAATGACGTTTGGAGGGGCTTGTGGGAGGAAGTCAGCATGAGAGGAGGTCAGGCCCCAATGATGGCATCAGTGGTTTTACAAAATGGGAAAGTCCCAGGCAACAGGTTTCGTCTGTGTGGGCACATTGTGCCACCTGACATGTTACTGTGCAGGAAAAAGGCCTGCTCTGGATAGCAAGTAGATGCTGGCACTGTGCTCTTCATTTCCTAGCTTCTGGAACCATGAGGAACTTACATTTCTATTCTTTATCAGTTACCTGTTCTCATGTATTCCTGTATAGTAACAGCAAATGGGCTAACTCAGTACTGTTTCATGACTCTTCTCTTGCTTCTGCAATTGTTTTTGGGTCATCTTAACTGCCTTCTTTCATCTGTTTTCTGAAATTGTATGCTTTGCGGTCCCTTCCCAAGCTCTCCCCAAACTGGTTTTTCTTTCTTGTTGGTTGTTTAGGTTCTCCTGGCATCATTTGCTGACTGCTCAAGCATGGCTTATAAAGTTCTATTTCTGGCTGACTTCCTTTTCACCCTTCCCTCTTGCCTTCCCACATCCTTTGTTTTCTGAAAAATTTGCCTACCATCACAGAAATTACCATCTAGTATTCCTCATGATATGTAGGTAGGTGTACTCTATCTGTACACATCTATATCTGATCTACTTCTATATTTACAACTGCCTAGATTAAAGTGTTCAGCACCACAACATCTGATGTGTTAATTCCATGGAGACAGAGATACAAAACAGGTATTTAAATGGTGGTAAATGAATGAGTTCTACTGGGCCCGTTATCTGTGTTAGGTCCAGTGATCATAAGGTCCTTGCACTATTGCCATCAAAGAACTGGCTGTCTTAGTTTTTGAGGGACCATTAATGTGTTTTTCTATTTTTACCCAAAGAGCACCTGGATCAAGTGAGAAACTCCTCCTGGCCAGGTAGAGTTGCCCAAAGGACATGTACCCAGCCCCAGTAAAGCCCCACCAAGGACTCAGCCACTTTGGTGCCCTGTGAATTCTCTCTAGTAGGTTGACAGTCCATGTACTTTCTAACTTCCATTTCACCCCACATTCCTGTCTCAAAATTCACCACCAGGCAACTGAGCTGCCCTTCAGTTGGACATAGCCCTGTCATGTGCCCTTGACATATCATTCCTTCCAGATGCTCAGAGCTCCATAGAGAGCCTTTCTGAGCCAGCAAGGAAGTCTGTCACACAGTGTATAATGTAAATAGCTGCTTGCATCCTGTATCTCAGATCTTTTGTGTTCCAAGTTGTTAAAAGGCTTAAGACACAGTGTGTGATGGGAAGGGTATGAGCAGTAGGTACTCCTGGGTAGCATTTGAGAGAAGGAAACTAAATGATCTTTCCTGATTTTTGTCTTGAAAATTGCTTTACTGATGGAGTTGCTCATGCAGAAGGGAATCATTGTGGAAGAAGGAGGGTTTCTATTTGCACATTTGTGTTTGAAATTCCCCTTGATCCCTATGACATCACGAAGGCAGACTGCTACCCAGGTGTAACATTTAGTAGGGAAGTTAAGACTAGAGATTTTCATATGAATGGCGAATCAAACAAAGGACTGCTGGATGTCATCTGTGACCACAGTGTGGATCCCGAGGCCAAGGGCTGAATACTGGGCACTTCAAGAGCAAGAGGTTGACAAGAGAAGGATACAGCATAGGTGTCCAAGAAGCAGAGTATGGGCCAAAAGTCAGGGATACAAAGCATCCCCTGGAGGAGGAGCACTCAGCTGCCCCAGGTCACAGAGAGGTCAAATTAGATGGAGCTTGAGGATAAAGCATTAGAGTTGGGAACATGCTACCCGTTGGTGGCCTTATCAAGTCCAGCTCAGGATCCCTCCTGGAGATACAGATTATAACATTTCCTTTGGGGCCTGGCGCGGTGGCGCAAGTGGCGCAAGTGGTTAAGTCCTCACCTTGCACGCCCAGGATCCCATATGGGCGCCGGTTCTATCCCAGCGGCCCCGTGGGAGACCCAGAAGAGGCTCCTGGCTTCGGATCGGCATAGCATCAGCAGTTGCGCTCACTTGGGGAGTGAATCATCGGACGGAAGATCTTCCTCTCTGTCTCTCGTCTCTGTATATCCGCCTTTCCAATAAAAATATAATAAAAATAAATCTTTAAAGCAAAAAAAAACATTTCCTTCATTTATCATAGCATTTAGCATTCCTTCATAGCAATTGGAATTATTCTCTACTTGCCTATTATCCAAAAGTATTAGTTCTAAGAGAGAAAAGTTCCATCTCTTCATCTTTGCCTGTCCAGTTCAAATTGCTAATAATGGGCTCTGACCTTTTTTTTTTTAAATATCCACATAAATTAATCAAGAATTTGAATTTACGACTACCCGTGGTATCATAGATTCCCATTTGTAAAGGCAATGTTCAGTTTTATTTGTAGGTTTTGGCAGGATAGAGTATGCCTATGAAAGTGATTACATTGTTTTGTTGCAAAGACAAAGATTAAATCTGTGCTGCTTTAGAAAGGTCTGCTGGGTAGTCTAAAAACAGTTGTATCCCATGTCTTAAGTTGCAGTAGTAAGGTACAACTCTGCTTTTGCAGAAAATAATTCTAGCATATGTGAAATTTGTGTTTTATTGAGTGTGCACAGCAGTTCCTGAGCATTATTCTTTGGAGGAAGAAAGAGCCTCAAAGACTGCATGGCTGTAGATTTTCATTTTGCACAAGAGGGAGCAGAAGATCAGAAAGTTTGGTACAGAAATGAGATTTGAACCCAGTACTCTAATCTGAATGCTCCTTGCCCCGACCCTGCTGGCGCCCTGCAGCAGGTCACTTCCCCCGCATGCGGTTTCTGGTTTCAGGGGAGGTGGAAGCCTTCTGGGTCAAAGGCCGGGAGGGAGAACCTCACAGCTCCGCTTGCAGGTTCCCAGTTGCCATTTCTGTCTTTGGTTGAAGTACTTGCAGCTGCGCAACATCTCAGTTGGGAATCATGCCTACAAGAACCAGGGTTCGAAGCAGTCAGCCATGGCAGTCTGCCAGCATTTCTACAGGCGAGCAAGCATCTGTCCTGGGAATGATACCTTCGACATAGATCCAGAAATTGAAACAGGTGATGTTCTTCCCTAAGCTGGAACTTAAATCTTTAATTCCATGGTTTAGACTGAAAATCAGTGACTTTATCCCAGAAGACATTAATCTGGCTTTGTGCTGTCAGTATGAGAATTATGTAGCAGCTGCTTTGAATCAGGTACTGTCCTAGGGCCTTTACTCATCAGTCCTCAAAAGAGAAACAAAGACATGGTAGATTATAATCACCCCATTTTACAGAAGATTAAATAATGGCTCAGAGAGGTGAGCAATTTGTTCAAGATGTAGTTTATGCCAGGTGTTGTTGAAACATTGTTTGCTTAGTTTCTGTGTTTCTCTGCCTTTCATACTGGATCATGAATCAGTTAGTAAGTGGGTATTGTTCTTACAAAACATTACATGTACAAAGTTTTGTGTGTCTAAAACCCTCTGCTTCCCCCATATAATTTTAGTAGTTCGTTTCTTTTGGTATAGGTTGGGATGGAAAAAGGAACGGAAAGCAGAACTTGGAAGAATGTAGCCAATTCCTTTAAGCAGTGTTATTTGTAATCAGTACCTAAAATACTGGCTTAAGTCAGGAGTTAGAAATAATTATTCTGCGAGGTTTGGGTGTATGTTTGGTGCCTTTTAGGACACCAGCACTCCTTATTGGCATGCCTGAAATCAGCTAAAGCTGACCCTGAGAGGCAGTATTGATTGATGGCTCAAGTAATCGGGTCCCTGCCACCCAAGTGGGAGGCCTGGACTGAGATACTGGCTCCTGGCTTTTGCCTGGCCTTACTTCAATTATTAGGGAATTTGGGAATGACTAGCAGATGGGGGCTGTCTGCCAGTCACTCTTTCAGAGCAAGGGGCTATCATCCTCAAGAACATTGGTGCAGTGGAGTTGAGCTCTTTCCCTGGTACCCAGGCACTCCAGCTACTTCCTAACAAATGACTCACTGTACGCAGGTGGCATATATATCTAGCTTTTAAATTCCCATTTCAGAAAAATAATGAGAATCGGAATAACTGGCTTTAAATGTGTTATGCTTTCAGAACACAGCTTTATTTGTTTCAGATTTGATGTATTTTTGTTTCTTTCTCTGGCAGAGTGTTTTTTTATACAGCCTGATGAGCATTTTCATTTTGGAACACTACAAGACAATAAGCTCAACCTAACGTTGGACTTCCACAGGTGAGGGAAGCAGATGGGAGCGTCAGTGTGTGTGTGTGTGTGTGTGTGTATGTATGTTTCTTTGCACTGAAGTAATTGCCACTGTTTTCTAGACTCCTCACAGTGGAGCTTCAGTTTAAACTGAAGGCCATTAACCTGCAGACAGTTCGTCACCAGGAGCTCCCTGATTGTTACGACTTTACTTTGACTGTAAGTGTGGGCCAGGCTGAAGTTGCTCCCAGTCTGGAGAGAAGCTGTTTTCTGTTGTTTCATGTCTTGGGTATTATGGGGCATCAAGTGTATAAGATGCTTTTACTTGAATGCTCAGCGGCAGTGCTGGCACTTCTTTGTCTGTGTTGGCTGTACTAGCTGGTTTATGCATCCATCACCTGTCTTCTGCACCTCAGTGCCTGTTCTCTGAGGGTGGGGAACTTCATCTTAGTCATTGCCATCTCCAGTACTGAGAATAGCGGCTGGCATAGTGTAGTGTTCGATGATGAAACAATGGAGATCTGAGGGTTCTGGGGGAGCAGCGCTGACTTGTCTGCTTGCGGGGTTCTTGGGCTGCATCTCCTGCCCATGGGTGTTTGATGCTTTTGATATTGCTCACAGAATCTTCCTCATACTGCTGCAAATTCTGTGGTTCATCTCACCCCTTGAGCCCATTCTATCACTTGTGTGTTCTTTGTGTTCCTGTTGCTGTTGGAGCCTTAGGCTTCCAAGAGACCACAAGACTCCTCTCACATAAGTCTTGTCACCTTGTTGCTTGGTCACATTAGGTGGTGTGAGGAAACATGGTGTAATAGGATCAAAGAGTCTGTGACTTCCACTCTAGTCTATGAAAAGCTATGCCCCTGCTACTCAGCCAACTGGCTGGGAGAAGTCTAGGTTTCAGAGACTGCAGTTAAAATAACTCCAAAATTTAGCATAACGTTTAGCTAGAAAAAACATTATCATTGAAACTGAAACTGAATTAGGCTGTACATGGATTTTAATATTAACTGTTATGAATGATCAGTATTACTTTTTTTTATATAATTGAGCTATCTCCACAATTTCCTGTCTCCTTAGCAGGGATTTCTGATGTAAGTGGTATCGTAGCATCTGCCTTGGTTAGGGCTTTGGGCCAGGTCCTTTAGCCATCACAGAGAGGGTCAGACTTTGACAGTGTCAAGCTCACACTGCCTTGAGGAGAAAGTGAGGAAACTCTTTAAAATCATTTCAGGTCTTACATCTGAAGTGAATTCTGATGTTCTCACATAGAAAAATTTTAATAAAATTCATTTAGGTAATGCATATTAAAAACTGTTTTCTCTAGGACATAGAGGCAATTACAAAATTGGACTGATTTTCTTGCTTGGCTTTCCCTCTCCCAACATGAAAAAAGGGAAAGAGGATAGAAAAAGGAAGACAGTAGAAGGGCAGTAGGAAGTACTCAGGTCAAACTTTGTCCTGCTTGGTGCCTGGTGTCCTAAACTGGCTATCTGTGAAGGACAGCATGGCTGGCAACTTCCTGTCACCAAATGGTTTGCAAAGTGTATTGTACTAGAGTGACTAAGAAATCTAGATAAGCCCAGAATGAAAATTGGAAAAAGCTTCACCTTCAAAGTGAAGCCCATTGTTTTAAAAATGGCAAGATCACTAAAAATCTACCCCCAGCTGAGGCTCTGCAGGGATAGACACGATTAGACCAATACTTGTTATCAAGAGAGTGACTGGAAGTGCCCAGAATGGGAGGCAGGGAGAGGTACTCTTGTACTTGGACTAGAATATACTGAAATATACAAATGCAAGTACTCTTTGACTTGGCCGAGCCCTCTTTACCAGGGTTTGGCTGCTGTCCTACAAACATAGGACTTTAGATACAAAAAGGTCTCCATTGAAGGTCTTAATCAGCCTTCTCACTCAGAGAAATAGGAAGAGAACTTCCCCACATTGAACAGATAGCCACAGATTGGAGATGAGGAGCTGGTGCTCCTGGCCTCTTGAAAGCATTGTTTCTTGGGTGAAACATAAAGGCATCTTGGATCCAAAAGCAACAGTTCTGTTTTTGACCCTTTTCCTCTCTTCACAGATAACATTTGACAATCAGGCCCACAGTGGAAGAATTAAAATAAGCTTAGATAATGACATTTCCATCAGGGAATGTAAAGAGTGGCATGTATCTGGATCAAGTAAGTACTGAGCTTTCCTGATTTTCAGAATGGTTATTAAATGACATACAATATTTATTAAGTTGCTGCTCCAAGGATATGTGCTACATTAAATAGAAGATTGGACCATTCCAAAGTCACAGCTTTCTTCAGATAAGTGGGCTTACAGTTGATATCTTATGTTCCAGGCAATACACAAGAACTGGCCTTCCTTCCATTCTCCATGTACCCCCACCCACATCCCCCTCACTAAGAACATACTTAGCATTTCCACCAAACATATTCATATACACACACCAGGATTTATTGAGTTCACTCTGTATGAAATCACCTATGTTAGTTTTTGTCATATATTTTAAAATGCGCACTTAAATAACAATACAGATGGAATTGTAACTCCATATGAAGGACTAGACTATTGTAGCAATATGGGGAAAAATCAGTCGGTGGTTGAGAATCCCATACTTTACGGAATTGTACCATAAAATTCAAAATTCAAAATAAAAATTCAAAAAATTAACCTAAAAATGTCTTCATCATAGGCAGGTTCATTATTATATTTTTAGATTTATTTTATTCATTGGAAAGATGGAGTTACAGAATGAAAGGGAAAGACAATAAGAGATATCTTTCATCCATTGGTTCACTCCTCCAAATGACCATGATGGACAGGACTGGGTCAAGCTGAAGCCAGGAGCCTGGAACTCCATTCTGGCTTCCTAGGGCGCCCAAATAGCCTCTCCTGCTCTCCTATACACATTAGCAGGGAGCTGGGTCTAGAACTAGAGCAGGATTTGAACTGGAGGTCATCAGGGGTTGCTGACAGTACCTTTATGTGCTGTGCCACCGCTATAATACTCAGGTGCATTTAAAAAAAACTTTTATTGTTGATGAAGTTTGCATAGTTGATTAGGGTGGAAAGGGTCAAGGATTAGTGGAAGGTAGGTGAAAGCATTGTTTTCAGATTTTCTTTTTTTTCTTCCTACATCTGGGGGAAGCAGGGAGAGAAAGGGAAAAGCCACACTCAGCCTCCTAGCTGCCCTAGTACCCAGGATAGGGAATGGCCACCTGATGTTATCCCAGGGTCCCTGATGTGGAGCATGCTCCAAGGGTTCTGCTCAAGTGGTTTTGGTAGTTCTGAAATACTGTTAATCTCGCTGCTTTAGGGATGAGGAAATCCTTCCAAGGCCCATTGACTGCCATAGTCCACATCAGAGTATCCATTCTCCTAGATATTTGCTGTCAACACTTGGCTAGGGTAGTTGACCAATTTGTTTTGCCCTCCTTCCTTGTATGGTACCCAATGTCCTCTGCAGGCCCCAATGGATTACCATATCCTCCATGTGCATATGAGTATGCCATCCGCTGGTCCATTTTTAAGCCACTGAGGGGGCCCAATTCTGACACAAAACCTCAATGGTCAGACCACAGATCTTGCAATTCTCCCTGGGGTTGAAGTTCTGAGTCCAGCAATCCACTTGGGGGGATTCCCAAAGAAACCTTGTCTGTGGTGATCCCAGACCTGAATCTTGCATGTGCTTGCCAGTATTGGATCCATCTGTTTGTCACCAATATCAGCTTACACACGGTTAGTTGCAATTGCTGGGTCAGTTTTGTCTCCAGCCCTATCTCTTATGTAAACCAATGGGTGCTGTACAGGATCAGTAGTGATGTTTCATGTTGATAATCATACAGCCAGAAAGATATAAGATATGATTTGATCCTGAAGCATTCTATGTCTTATAATTGCTTTCCATCCAGGTTAACCAAGGAAAGGGACTATTCTTAGAATAATGGAACAAACTCAGTGTTATCAAATAATTTGGAACTAAACATGAGTAAATTGCCAAGAAAGAATTCTCTATCTCATTTTCTAATCCTACACAAGTAACATAATTGTAGTTAATGACTAGGATTCTTAGATGCTATGGGCTAAAGAATCAGCCCAGTTATTATGAATAACAGTTTCCCCTGCTCCACTTTCAAGACAGGTCTGGAGTATGAACTAGAAATGTGTGGATAATTCTTTTAGCATATTCAGGTAGCTACTGTGCTGATTTCCTACTGATCCATTTGCCAAGATTCAGAAGTAATAATGAGAGTGTAAGCATAATTAAAATTAAATCTCCCTGTAGTATTCTTTTAAATAAAGATAACTTAAAATACACAAGATTATTGGGTTGCAAACTTTCATTTCAACCACAAATTTGTTTATTTCAGCACAAGCTTGGTTTGTATTATGAGATTCTTGGGTTACAAACTTTCATTTCAATCACAAACTTGTTTATTTCAAGCACAAGCCTGGTTTCTTTAAGGGAAATGAGAGCATGTGAAACTGCCTAGCATATTTTCTCTGAAATGTTTGTTTCTTGCTGTTGAAGTTGTTCTAAAATAGACATTTGTGTAAGTTAGATTCGTTTTGGCAAGCATTATGGGACACCTATTTTATTATTATTATTAATTACATTGCATTACGTGACAGTTTCATAGGCTCTGGGATTCCCCAACCCCTCCCAATATCCTCCCCCTATAGTGGATTCCTCCATATTATTGCAGTATTACAGTTCAAATTCAGTCAACATTCCTTCATTGCAAGCATATACCGAACATAGAGTCCAGCCGCTATTGTCCAGATACATTGAACGGTTACTTGGGGAGACCATCTCTGGTCTGAAGTTAGAGCTGGCAGAATATTATCCCGATCAATTAAAAGCCCCAACATAACATTAACACCAGTTTACAACATTATGGAATTAATTCACATGGTATTGAGTATCCAATATGTTTTTAAAAATGCAAGTTCTTAACCATATCCTGTGACTACTTCATTGACATTTCAATTTTAGTTTATATATATATACACCTTAAAATGGCTATAGGGTATTATTCAGCTGTCTTGTGTCTATTTTCATTTTAGTATTTAGCAGTTTATAGTTATAGTGTTGAAGAATAATTTTGCTGAATTTGGCATATTTTAGGATAGTCTAAACTGGGTTATAACTCTAACAAGGCATATGTCAACAGCTGAGGTGTGGGATAGTTTTAGGAGGGGAGTGCAGAGAAATCTTCAATACCTTAGTGAGGAGTAACTAATCTTTGTGTCCTACCTAGTAAGGTATGTGTGAATTCACGCTGTTTCCTGTCTGGTTCTAAGCTTTCCTTGCTGTTCTCTATCTATTCTAATTTTTTGTTTGTTTGTTTGTTTTGTGGGGTGCTCTGGAGCAACCCTGATGGTCATTGCAAGAGAGGGTGGGGATCCAAAGTTGGAACTAAGTAAGGACCAGAGAAAGCTCTCCCTAGTCCCAAAGGAAGTTTACTGTTGTTCTGTTTCTGTGGACCGCTCAGGGCTTCTGGCTGTTGTTCCGATGATCTTGGATCCTGCGAGGGAGGATTTGCGCTTCTTTCATCCCATGTGGTAGGTCCAAACGGGGGTGGATGACCTCAGAGTTCTCGGCCTCCAAAGGCACTCCAATTCCCCATGGTCTCCTTGGCAGTTGGGATGTAGTCCTTGGTGCCCATACTGATGGTCCTTGGTGAGGATCTGGGAGTCTTCAGGGTTGTGATACAAGCCTCCTCCTGTCCCTCTGCTCCATTCTGGGGTTCCTTTGCTCTGTCCATATGGCCTACTGTTAAGAGGTTGACAGGGTTGCTCTTGATTCCACCTATATGTCTTGTAGTTTTTCTACATTCTAATGCTGATTTGAGTCTGTTGTCTATGAGTTACCTGTTATGTTCCTGATAGGTTATACTTCACGTCTTCCTCACACATTGTAGGGAGATGTAAGATTTCTCTGCTTTCCCTCCCCATTTCCGAGTAGCATAGGGTCTTAAAGGTATAGTAAGTTTTACAATTCTTTGATTTAGATCATAAGCAGCCTGACTCACATTGATTGTTCGTTCATTGGTTACATCACACTATCTTATTGCATGAGATATAGGCTGTTTGGGGTTGGAATAACATTACAGTTTACAGGTACTGTTTTTTTTAATTGACATAATTTTATCTTAAATTAAGGCAAACGTGGTATCTAACCTTTTGGGATTGGCTCATTTTCCTTAACATAATGGTCCATTTGGCCACAAAGAACTGCATTTTTTTTTAATAGTTGAGTAGTATTCCATGGAGTAAATGAAGCATAGCTTTCTTAACCAGTCTTCTGTTGATGGGCATTTTGGTTGCTTCCAAGTTTTTGCAATTATTGATTGAGCTGCTATGAACATAGGGGTGCATGTTGGTTTCTTGTATAACAGGTGTTTTGGATATATTCCTAGGAGTGCTATTGCTGGATCACATGGTATGCAGATTTTGAGTTGTTTGAGTGCTCTCCATATTGATTTCCATAGAGGCTGTACCAACCTGAAGTCCCACCAGCAGTGGAGTAGGGTTCCCTTTTCACCAGACACCTATTTGTAGAACTAGTCTTAAGTTGCTCCCCTCCCTCTCCTGTCCAGCCTTTTTTGTTAAACAGTGAGCAGTCTCACTGTGACAAGGCCTGAGACAGGGCCTACAGCAGAGCCTACAGTGGCTGAGGCCTCTGGCCAGCTGTTTGTGTGATTCATTCATGCTGGCCAGGACCTGGCACTGTCCATTCAACAGAAACTGTGTAGGTGCTTCTTTCTCATCACTCAAGTTTCAGCTAAATCTTACTACTCTCTCAGTGAGACCTTTTTTCACTCTGCATTCTCCCATTCTTCCACACCAACCTCCCTTGTCTAAAACATTGGTTGCCAAACTGGAAGACTTGCAAACACATAGTGTTTCTGATTTCATAATTCTGGTAATAGATGTGAAAATGCCGAATTTTCCTTTAGTTTGTTTTCAAAGATTCATTTATTTTTATTTGAAGGGCAGAGCAGATTTATAGAGAGAAGGAGAGACAGAAAAAGACCCTGTATCTGCTGGCCCACTTCCCAAATGGCTGCATTGGCCAGGGCTGAGCCGAAGCAAAGCTGGGAGCCAGGAGCTTCCTCCAGGTCTCCCGTGTGGGTGCAGGGTCTCCTGCTTTCCTAGATCATACGCTGGATGGGAAGTGGAACAGCCAGGACATGAACCAGTGCCCATGTGGGATCCTGGTGCTTATGAGGTGAGGATTTAGCCATTGAGTCATAACACTTGGCCCTTTACTTTTGAATCCTGACTGGCCCTAGCGAGACCTCCAACTGTGGATAAATCTTACCTGTGCTTCAGGTTTTTTATACCAACTTCATTGGAATTGTTTGGAACATCAAGTAAGTTAATATATATGAAATTCTTGGAATTATTCCTGATGAGAAACGTGCTCATGTACATGTTAGTACATGTTAGTGACTTAGATTTTTCTTTGTATCATTTATTTCTTTCTGAAAGTTTTTTGTTCATGTGTTTATTTACATCTGTGTTTGTCTCACTCCAACAGAATAGGAATTCTACAAGATCAGGGGCTTTGTCTTGTTTGCTGTGTATTCCAGTATCTACAAATATCCATGGCACATAGTGGATAGGCTTGATAAATATCTTTGATATGGATAAGTACATTTTGACTGTTGTTTGTTATTTTCCACAATGTTTTTACAGTTGTAGTGATTTATTGCTCCATCCCCTTTCTCCTTCTCCATATTCCTCTCATGTCTTCCCTCCCCCATATTATCAGAATAGTATAGTCCCTTAGTACAAGTGTAACTTTTTGATATTTATGTATCAGGACATGCTAAGTGTAAGAAAGGTAGAAAATCTAATACTGTATTTTAGAGGTATATTTAAAAATTTCATCGGGAGTCCTACTTTTATTTGGAGGTAGAGATGCGTACTGCATAGTACCTCTATTTCTTGGTATGCTAGTCTCTCTTGTGCCATTGAAATATATATATGTGTGTGTGTATTTTTTACATATATATGTATTATATATATAGGACTATATTTAGTATATATAGTACTGTGTATATATAGTATATATAGTACTATTATATATAATTTATATGTGTAGTAATATATATACACACACACACACACATATATATAGTACTTTGCATATTGGTTGCCTTATATAAGAGAGAACGTATGATTTTTGTCATTTTTAGGGCTGGCTTGCCTCATAAGCAAAGAGACAAATTACATTACAAACAAAAGACCACAAGCTGATAATTAAAGATCTTGAACAAATGGTTGCAATGATTTTTCAAAGGACTTTAAGCCTTCTTTAAATGCTAATTGGAGAATGTTTTTATTAGGGCTTCTCTTCAGTGATATCTTTCTGAAAAGAACACTTAAATTTTCTGAATTACTCTAAACACAAGAAGCTGTTCTGTATTAGTGTCCCACCACTAAGCACTGCATGATTTTTTTTATTTCAGTTCAGAAGAACACTCACTACATGATGATCTTTGATGCCTTTGTCATCCTCACCTGCATGGCTTCGTTGGTCCTCTGCGCCAGATCTGTGATTAGAGGACTTCAGCTTCAGCAGGTGTGGCTCCATGTTCTACAGGACTGCTACCAATGTTTTGATTGACAGAAAATTTCAATGTCTCTCTCCCCCCTCTCTTCTTTTAAGGAATTTGTCAACTTTTTCCTTCTCCATTATAAGAAAGTTGTTTCTGTTTCTGATCAAATGGAATTTGTCAATGGATGGTACATTATGATTATTATTAGTGATATACTGACAATCACTGGGTCAATTCTGAAAATGGAGATCCAAGCTAAGGTAACTTTTTTCCCCTAATCATGCAATTGTTAGTGTTAGGCTTAAATTAATGACAGTGTGTTTTTCCAGAACATGAGAATTTTCTTGGGAAATCTCAGGCAGGTTTTCAAAGTATGATCCATAGATCACTGTATTAAAATCATTTGGGTGTTTGGAAATAAGCCTCATGTTAGCCCTACTGAATCCAAACTCATTGAAGGAGGGACAGGCCATAGAGGGTTACACACACCAAATTAAGATAAGAGTTTTTAAAGGACTGCATAAAGTTCATAAAATCTTCAACAACCAAAGAGTAAGCTGCTCGCAGGGCATTCGGCTCCACACAGTCATTCTGGAACTCAAAGTCATTAGTTACCAGTCTTTGAGGGCTTCCTTAACTGCGCACTGATGCTAATCTGCCTCACTGCAGGTTACACCTTATAGGCTGTGGGATGCACAAACACTGTAGCCTATAGCCTACGGAAGGCACGAACTCCCATAGGCTGACATTCTGGACACAAGAGCAGGAAACTTCATTTCTGTTCCCATCACACTGGAGAGGCTTTAATTAAGTCAAACTGCAAGGGGGGCTGTGGAATGCAGCCCAGGCATGTGCCAATGAAGGAGGGAATGAGGGTTAGATAGGTCAGCAGTAGACAGTTGCCAAGGTAAATGGGTCTAACATGCATTGTTAAAAGGTGACTTAAGGAACAAAAATAAGAAGAGGATGGGAGGCCTGTAGCCAGTCTATTTTTTTTTTCCAGTCTCAACTATTGTTAACCTCAGCATTATCCAGCCATCTTTCTGCATTCCTCTAGGCCACTGACTCCTGCAGATAGCAAGTGATTATTTCATGTTCTCTTTTCTTTCCGAGCCTGTAATACTCTTGCCTTTATCCATTAGTCAGGGATTTCTGTGTTGCGAAAGTGAAGGACAAACCCAGAACTTCTTCAGATTCTCACATTGCTCATACTTGTTGCAGCATTAGTACCCATACACTCTTACACTCTGCGCTTTTCCCTTTTTTTGCTATTGTGCAATACTATTTCAGTTGCAATCCAGGGCCAGTCCCTCTACTTGCCTACCAGGTGCTGTCCTCTGTTCAAGGACACAACTCCAACACTGTCTATTTCTCCCTCTGAGAATAATTCTCTTAGTCTGGTGCAGTATCGTAGTGGCTAAATCCTCACCTTCCATGCACAGGATTCCATATGGGCAGCAGTTTGTGTCCCGGCTGTTTCACTTGCCATGCAGCTCCCTGCTTGTGGCCTGGGAAGGCAGTAGAGGATGTTCCAAAGCCTTGGGACCCTGCACCCACATGGGAGACCCAGAGGAAGTTCCTGACTCCTAGCTTCATATTGGCTCAGCTCCACTCACTGGCCACTTGGGGAGTGAACAAGAGGACGGAGATCTTTCGCTGTCTTTTGTCTTTGTAAATATGCCTTTCCAATAAAAATTTTTTTAAAAAACATCTTTTTTTTTAAAAAAAAATTCTCTGAGAATGTTCTAGTCTTTCAAAAGGAGAATAATTTCTCTACCTACATTGATACAGCAAAAGATCTCAAAAAACTAGTTAATCTTGTTGATTCTGAATCTGTTTCCTGTTCTTTGTCATGTCAGTTTCAGTGAGATTTCCCTGCCACTCATGGAAAGTGTTCTTCCAAATGACATGCCATGTTTCTAAGTTACTGATTGATGATGTATCCTCATCCTTCCCCATCAGCTGCTCTGGCACTGCCAAGCACTGCCTCTTCTTCCACAGATTTTTTTCCCTGGGCTCTCTCTTGTCTGATTGTCTTCCCAAATGGTAGATTGGTGCTCTGACCCTCCCTTTCTGATTTCCTCTCATCTCATCAATCTCTCAGGATGTTAGTGCTTTAAGGCATAGTGATTGGACATCTCTTTTCTTCTGTTTTGGTAGTCTCACCATGTCCAGGTAGATATATTAAATATCATGTAATTTTTAGTGACTCTGAAACATTTCTCTCTAGTGTGGAGGTGTTCCCTAAAGTCTAGATTCTGATATCCATATGTCTATTCCACATCTCTACTTGTGTTCTCAAATTTAACACATCTAAAACAGAACTGCTAAAATGCTCACCTCCATTGTCCTAACCTGCAGGTACCTAGGTTTTCTAATTTCAGTGAATGGTAGCTCTCTTCAATTGCTAAAGAACCAAACCATAGATTAATGAAATTCTCCTCTTTTTCACCAATACCCACTATCCAACATTTATGCAAAGAGGAAAATTTGTTGTTCTGCCTTTTAAACTCAATCACATCATCCTCTCCACTTTTACCAGGTTCAGCCAAGCCACCATTATTAACTTACATCTATATTCTTGCAATAGACTTATAACAATCTGCTTCTCATCATAGAAGCCCATATTTAATTATATCATCCCTATTCACGGCTATCAGATCTCCCCGACGTATGTAGAGTTAAAGACAAAGCTGTTAAGTCCCCATGAGTTCCTATGCTACCTGCCCCTTTATTTTCCTGAAGTCATCCTCTTCCGGTTGGTCTCTGCAGCCACTTGCTCACTTGCTAGACCCTCTCCTGTGTTGGGGATTTGCAATGGATGTTCCCTATGTTTGCAAAGCTCCTCTTTTGGATTTTAGTTGGATTTTCTTCCTCACTCCTTTTAGATCTTTGCCTAACTGCCACCTTTCCCCTGACCCTATTTAAAATTACAAACTTATATTCAGTCTTTGTCTTCTTGACTTTCTTCTTAGCACTTTTCCTCAGTTAATATATGAAAGGTAACACCAATATATTTCTATTGCCTCTCTGTGCACTTCTAAACTAGAATGTATGCCTCAGGTGAGCATATCAATTTGCTTGTTCGTTGCTTTATTCTTAGCACCTAGAATGATGTTATAGCAACCCAACAAATATTTGTTGTCCCAAAGAATTTCTACTATGTAATCAGAACATTTTTCCCATTCTTTCCTAGAGTCTAACAAGTTATGATGTCTGTAGCATATTTCTTGGGACTTCTACCATGCTTGTGTGGCTTGGAGTTATCCGATACCTTGGTTTCTTCGAGAAGTACAATGTGAGGACAGCATGGATCTCCATACTTTGGTATTTCTCTCATGACTCTTGCTGTTTAGGCAGAAGGACAGAGGGATTCTAATGACCTGTCTTACTTTCTCAGCTCCTCATTCTGACTCTCCAGGCTGCACTACCCAATGTCATGAGGTTCTGCTGCTGCGCAGCTATGATTTATTTGGGCTATTGTTTCTGTGGATGGATTGTGCTGGGGCCTTATCATGTTAAGGTATGAATGAACAGCTTTTATCTAGTTCCTATTAAGCTCTACAGCAGTGCTAATAGTTTGTTGTCCTTTTAAAATGAACTCTTTATTTACAATTCAGTCTTATCTGTTTGAAGGTAGTGTACCTGTGACCATGTTTGTAAAATGATAAGGTATTACTAATTTGTGCAAATTGATTCCTTCAAATGTCTTAAATATTTTGGGGAATATACAAATAATTAACTCTCATTTATAACCAGCAAAGTCTACCTTGGTCAATTCATCAACATATAAGGGATCTTTTTAAGTTCATGGAAAATACATGAGCGAAAAAACTGTGCCTGGATTTTGCAAAAAAAAAAAAAAAGTGTGAAACAAAACATGCTTATCTTTTAATTCCATTATCCCACAAACTTTTTGAAGTACCTCTGAATTAGAGTATACAATTTAAGTACACCTTCTCAAAAATGTGATTTTGTTAAAAAAAAAAACAAAACCCAAGTAGTATACCAAGTAGTATAGGAAGAAACTTATAAAAATAGTGGAAAACATTGTTACCACAGCCAGTATGTGAAATAGATGAATGTAAAAATGAGGTGCGTACCACAGTCCATGGCATTTGACCTGGGCATTTCTACAGAAGCATTTCAAGGATGTGAAGATAAAGTGGGAGAGAAAGGCTTAACCCAGAAAGGTACTTAGGGTTCAGACAAGCCCCAGGATTCCACTTACGGGGAGCACAGGAGAGTTGTGCTCTGTCGGGTGGCTGATGCCTGGATAATGCATCACAGAGCACATGCTTGTGTTCAGCAGAGATTATTTGTTTTCTTTTTTTAAAGATTTATTTTTATTATTTTTTCATTGCAAAGGCGGATATACAGAGAGGAAGATCTTCCATTTGATGACTCACTCCCCAAGTGAGCACAACGGCCGATACTATGCCTATCCGAAGCCAGGAGCCACTTCCGGGTCTCCCACGCGGGTGCAGGGTCCCAAAACTTTGGGCCATCCTCGACTGCTTTCCTGGGCCACAGGCAGGGAGCTGGAAGGGAAGCGGGGCTGCCGGGATTAGAACCGGCGCCCATATGGGATCCCGGGCGTGCAAGGCGAGGACCTTTAACCACTTGCGCCACCGCGCTGGGCCCTAGCTGACTCTGTTTTCAATGTCATGTCATGAGTCAAGGTCTCCAATGGGAAGGAATGTGGAATAATGATTATATTTCTCTCTTTTTTTCTTTGCAGTTCCGGTCTCTGAACATGGTGTCTGAGTGTCTTTTCTCTCTGATAAATGGAGATGATATGTTTGCTACATTTGCAAAGATGCAGCAAAAAAGCTATTTGGTCTGGTTATTTAGCAGGATTTACCTCTACTCATTCATCAGCCTATTTATATATATGATTTTAAGTCTTTTCATTGCACTGATAACTGATACGTATGAAACAATTAAGGTAGGTTTATCAAGAGCTTTGAGTGGCACCCTTCTTCCGGAACTTGTTGAGATAAAATCTGTTACTTAAATAGGGAAAAAAGTTGATGGGATATTGATTTTATTGAGATAGAAAAGCAAGTCCTTTGTTTTAGAGATTGAGAAAGAGAAATGAAAGAGAAACAGAGTTTCTAGATTGCTGAAAGTCTTTTAAGGAAGTGTTTTTCAAGCAAGCTTTCTAGCCTTTTATTACAATCACAGGGGTTAGTAGACACTGACAAAAAAAGATGAATTTTCAGAATTCCAAAATTTTGTGGGAAACTTAAAAACACAATTTTCATGAAGAAAAAGTGACCCCTTCATTTGGGATATTTTGTACTTAGGATTCTCTGCACGGCACAACCCTGCTACCCAACAACAGAATTTATGTGTCAACTATTAGTCAGGTATGCTTTACACAATCAGAAACATGACTTGAAAAAAGATATTGCCAGCCAAATGGGAAATTTGAAAAATCATTTTGAGTCCTTGAACTATATAAAGGAAGAATGAAGACTCATATTTACACTTCTAATAACCTTGTGTTGTTAGGTATACTATTGGCATAGGCACTTCCTCTTGGGGACTTTTCATTCTGGGTACCATTGGAACAATGAAACTTCATGATGTATAATTGACCTCAGGATACAGAGACAACCATGGTTTGGAGCTGATTTTATCAATACTTTCCTCATGAAGCCAAGCCATGACTCCGTCCTGTTTCTTTTAATTTTTATTTTCAGAGATAAAGACAGATCATTCATGCTTCCGTCCACTGGTTCATTCTCCAAACACTCAAAATAGTTAGGGCTCAGTCAGGCTAAAGTTTTGGGCCCAGAACTCCCTATGACTCTCCCATGTGGGTGACAGGGATCTAAGCCATTAAGCATCATCTATTGTTGCATGCTAGCAGGAAGCTAGATTGGAAGTGGAATAACTGGTGTTTGAACCAGCCACTCCAAAATGGGATGTACACATTATACCAGAAACTTGACTTGCTGTGCCACAGTGCCCACTCCCAAAAGATCATTCTTATTGAGCGAGATTTCAGAGACTGTCCTCTTTTTGTCCACCATAGTTACTTGTCTGATGTTTACTTAGGGTACCCAAGCAGCTGAAAGTGTGGGTTTAAATGTACAAATCACTCCCCATGATGCTCTAGAACTCACCCTTATTAACTCTTCCTGCAAGTAACTAGCTCTTAAGGGAGCCATGAAAGAGTGTTAAATGTAATATAGGTTTTCATTTTTTAGTAACCCAGGCCTGAGACGCAGTTCAAATTGTTAACTTGTTTCTGTCAGCTTAGAGACTTGCAGAGACTTGCCAAACGGACAAATCAAGTTTTTTTCTGATCCTTTCTGGTTAGGGCATGGTCTAAGGAGCTTAGATCCTCTAATTGTATAAACACAAGGCTCTTTAACTGTCTTTCCAGAAGAGTGACTGCAGAGAGATATTTATGTTGGGAAGGACCCTCATGATATTCCAATCTGTCCAGACACCTGGACCCAACCAGTCAGTGGTGTCCAAGGCATGCTGAGGTCATCTAAGCAAGACTGGGGCTGGTTGTTGCTTAACCCTTGACACCTGAGACTGAGCCAGGTTCTGTATGAGAAGCCTGTTTGATGATGATCTGGAAGTCACAGAGGGTACTGACAGAGCAATGACCTCTCAGCCTTGGGATGTGGCTGGCTGAATTCTCTCAGTAGAAAGCATAACCTGCCCATTAACCCAGAAAAGAATGCCCAGGATGGCACAGCAGGTTCATTTTATCTTGGCCTGACCTGAAGGCCACACTATAGGATATTCCTCCCTGAAAGTCAATTGCAAGTGACTCAGCTTGGCCTCTGGAAAATCCCCTCCCTGTCAAATGATCCATGTTTAATTCAGAATAAAGCTGAGTTCAAGTGCTTACTAAAGTGACTTTCTTCTTGTTTTGTATAGCATTACCAACAAGATGGCTTCCCAGAGACTGAACTTTGGACATTCATATCAGAGTGTAAGGATCTACCAGATTCTGGAAAATATAGACTAGAAGATGATCCTCCAATATCTTTATTCTGTTGTTGTAATAAGTAGCTCTCAGGGTGACTGCTGTGGGCGAAATGTAATATGCAGCTGAGCTAGGATAGCATATGGATATTTTAAAATAAGATACGATGTTTGAAGACTATTATGTTGGGTTAATTGGTAGCTATAATTCACAAAGAACTATGTTTATATCTTTAGAAGCCATATTTCATATATTTTCTTCTTTATGCTAATTGTTAAAAATTGTAACTAATTTAATGAGGGAAACTGTTCAATTATTGTTCTTTCCTGTCCTTGGTACTGTAGCTTGAGAATATGTTCTCTGTTAACCTGTTTGGTTCATGTAGTCTTGGCTTCCAGCTACCCAGTGTGGAGTATGTCATCAGTGAAAAGCAATCCCTGTTCTGACCAGAAATTCAGATTATTTGGAGATGTGGCCTGGATCACTCCCAAATGTCCATCCCTGTGGGGATCATTAATATATAAATCCAAAATCTTCTTTTAAAATGCAGTAGAGAAAAAAAAATTAACCATCACTGCTGATGATGCAACTTTCAATTCTGAAGGACAACTGTTAATTGATTCTGGTTGGACTTCTGGAGAGGATTGGATTTTTAAGTATTCATTTTTGTTTCCTGTCTTTCAATTGGAAGTGAAGTGCAAAGTTGAAAGAGTAGACTGTGCCTGTTTGAAAGTGAAAGCACATATCAATGAATATCCAATTCAATGATGATTATTTAACTAGCACCTTTGCAGCTCTGTCAAAGTTTGTGGCAGAAGATGCCTTTCATCAACACCTTAGGTCCCACAGTGAAGTATTTTGGGACCAGGGGCTGTGGTTTCCTGGCGTGAAGCTCTATACACCACCTTTAAGATTTTTGTACAGTAATTATTTTAGGTAAGTGAGAAGTGCATGCTTTAAAGAGGTATAAAAGTTGGGAGTAGGCTTTTGGCCTGGCAGTTAAGATTCCTGCATCTCACATCAGAGAGCCTGGGTTTGATTCCTGGACCATGCTATCAACAGCAGTGCTGGCTCAAGTGATTAGATTCCTGACTAACACATAGGGAATCCAAACTGTGTTCCTGCCTCCTGATGCCAGCCTGGCCCAGTTGTGGCTATGGTGGGCATTTGGGGAGTGAGCTAGCACACTAGTACACACTGACTGTCAAATAATAATTTTATACAAGACAAAAATAATGTCTATTGCTTATAGACTGATGGTTTGTAATTACAGGGATTCTCAAAGAATGAATGCTAGTTTGGAGCAATATTTATTTAAATAAAAGTGAATTCATTGGTTGAAATAAAAGTTTTCTCAAAGCGATTTCATTTTTCTAGAAGAAAGTAGTTTTTTAATTTCTGTTTTATGTTGAAGGCTTCAGGAAGATAGTATTTTGACACTGAAATAATCTCTCTGATCTTTTAAAGTATTATTTACTTATTTGAGAGTGGAAGACACAAAGCAGAGGAGCTCTTACACACTGGTTGACACCTCGGATTCCTGCATTGGCTGGTGCTGAGATTGGCCAGAGTCAGGAGCCAGGCTCTCCGTCCAGAATTCCAGTTAGCTGGCAGGTGTGCAGTTATCTGAGGTATTGCCACTGCTGCCCAAGTTCTGTATCAGTAGAAACCTGAGGTCAGGAGCTGCTGGAAAGCATACGGGCATCTTCACTGGCATCTTAGCTGCCAGGCTTTACTGGGCACTGAAATCTTACTGTTTACCCAATGACAATGATAATACTGACTCTAAGTTTGGAAATGTGAGTGCTTATGTTAGGTCTAAGCTATTTTTGTAGGACCCGTGACTCTTAAAGAATGAGGAATCTAAACCTCTAAGTATTTGATGGCATAACAAGTGTTGGGGAGGCCTGAGTTCTAATATGGTTAACACAATTACTTTCAGAATTTATTAAGATGTGATGTGATTTTCTAAATCGTGTTCATTGTCTGATAAATCCTTTCCTTCAACTCCTCCTGAGAGTTTTCCACTAACAATAACACTTTCATGGAAACTTGAAGGCAATGATGCAGGATTGGGACTGGAATTTGGCTTTGAAGCTCCTCTGCTTCTACTGTGGAATTACAGCAGGTGACTTGGTGCTCTCATGTCATTGTCCTAATTCTTCAAATTTTCTTATTGTAGCAGGGGTCCCTGATATGCTAAGACCTAACTGTTATAAACGACATTCACAGGAGAATAGTTCTGTCATTTCCTGAAATAAATACCACCGGCTAACTTTTTGGAACAGAATCCGAACAAGCACACTAACTTGATCTGAGCAGGTAGAGGGGGGATAATCAGAGTTATTTTAGAGTTCTGTTGATGTTTAATTTTTTTTATTAATAATCTTACTTAGCTGATTAGGGCACAAATGGTCAAGGTTACAGGAAAGTGGATAAAACCATTACTTCCACACTAATATCATTATTTTTTTCTGCTTGTATCAGGGTCAGAGGAGAAACAAAGGGAGAAGGCCCATCCAGCCTCCCACCCATCCCAGGTCCTCGATGTTAGGCATGCTCCAAGGGTCCTGCTCAAGCAGTTTTGATAGTTCAACAGTTCTGAATTGCTGCCAATCTCACCATTCCAAGCACAATGAAAACTCTTCAGAATCCACTAGCTGACATAATCTCTTCATGATTGGGGTTCTGAGATCAGCAGTTCAGTTGAAGGGATCCCCAAAGAAACTTCGTCTGAGGTGATCCCAGACCTGATCCTTATATGTGATTGTCAGTACAGGATTCAACACAGTCCTTTGCCCCAATCAGCTTATGTATATGGTGGTAGATGCCATTGCTGGGTCAGTTCTGTTTACAGCCCTGTCTTCCACATAAACCAATGGGTGTTGCAGTCCAGCCCCATTCTGCACACTTCATACTCGACCCTCATGCAAGCCAGTGGGAACTGCAGCCTAATTGGGGTGACTCCCATAAACCCCACCATGCCTGCCCCTTACCCTGCTTCCCATGCTTGGCAGTTTGTATCGCAGACTGGCCCAGTCTGTCCCACATCCCATTTAGCTCTTATACATATCACTGGACCTTGAAGCCTAGTTCAACCCAACCAGCCCTACTATCCAGCCCACACATATGCTGGTGGTGCCTTTCTGTCTATCTACTCCTTTCCTGGGCCTAGTTTTCGTGCTCTCCAGTGGGAGTGGTAACCTAAGAGGGAGGTGCCCACTAGGTCCCTGTTGGGCCACACCCACTCCAGGATCATGCACTCTTCAGGTGGTTCTGCAGTTTAACTTGACAGAGTTAGCCCCCAGTGCCAGCATCTGCCAGCTGATGCTGCGACAATGCCCAACCAACCCTTACCCACTGTAACTTTTGCTTGCACCAGTTGAAACAGCCCAATCTGGCTTCTTCCTGATCTAGCTCTTATGAGGCCCACAGGTGTTGTAGCTCTGCCTGGTCTGGTCTGCCCCCATCCCAACTCACACTTTCCATGGGAGTGGTTGTCCAACAGGGGAGCCCACAGCCTCCATGCTGGCTTTGCACCTTCCCTCCCTGGTTCTCACGTGTGCTGTTTGGGTGCTTCGACCACAACTGGTACAGCTCACCTCACCTTGGCATTCCATAATGTGCACTGTTTTGTGTTTTGACTGAATCTGGCCCAATCCACACTCTATTCTGGTGCTTAGATTTGCCAGCGAGTGATGTAAACTGGTTCAGCCTGGTCTGCCCTCGACCTATGCCAAATGTAGGCTGCTGGGTACATTTCCCTGGTCGGGTCTGGGTTGCTCCCTATTGTTGTTCTTGCACTCACCTGCAGGAACTGTCTGGACAGAGGAGTTTCCCAAGCTCCTCCATTAGAACCTCTCCCTATGCCAGATCTTGTGCACACTGGGGGTGCATGGGCCAGCCCTACTTAGTCCACCTTCTGTCCTGGCAAGAACAGCGGCACTTCCTGACTGGCTTTCCAACACATTCTGGTTCTTATTGTTGGATGTTTCAGCCCAGCCAAGGCTCGTCCATACCCAAACACTGCTTACACATGGCTCAGTAGGGGCAGAGACCTAGCCTAATCCATCCTACATCTACCCAGATTCTCATGAGCACCAGATGGTGCTGGCACCTAGCCTGGCTAGATGTAGTTCGCAAGTGTGAGCTCCCAGCCCCAGTTCCCACTTGTACCTAGGGAGATTGCAGGCATAGCCAGACCTGGATGCATCCCCCACTCTGTCCCCAGCACTCTCCTGTGGTAACCCTAACCCAGCAAGGTGAACTCTCATAGCTCCCCAACTGGGCCTATTCCCAGCGCTAGACTACACGCATGCCAGTGATTGCTCTGACCCAGTTGGCTTAGCCCCTCGCTTGTCTCAGCCTTTGTCTTCGATGCTATGGCCTAGTATCCCTGACTCATGAAGACCAGTTGGGGTAAGAGCCTAGCTCGGCCTGACCTGTGCTCTAGCTTGATTTCTGTTCTTCCTTGTGAGTTAAGGTTTGCTCGGGCCTGCCTGGTTCACCCCCTTCCAGTTGCAGTTTGGCCTATCCCACAACCTATTTTAGGATGCACATTCCGATGCTGCTGCCTTAACCAGACTGTTGTTGGTTCCTTTACTTGTGAGTGATGGCAGGTTCCACAGTCACACCTAGCTCAGCCCATCACCACCCCAGCTCTTGACCTAACCAGTGGGACTTGTTTTTCCACAGGGTTGGGCCCACACTCCCCCCACAGAATCTATCCTCAGTCCTGGTTCTCTCATGTGCTGATTAGTTCTTGACCGTGCTAAGTGAGACTGTCCCCTGTTCCACCACTCAGTCAGGTACCTAGCCCTGCCAGACAGGCCCCCAGCCATAGTTTTGGTATAGACTGGTGTGTGGCAGTCAGAGATGCTCTGTGCTGACAGCCAATATCGTGATTCCCATGTGTCTGGTGAAACAGTCTGGCTCAAATAGATCTTAAGGACTCTCCCCTCCAAACCACCAGGTCTCAGTCCCCACACTTGCCAGAAATTTCCATGACCCCATGGCTGGGAAGCACCTAGATTTCTTCCCTCACCTACACTCACACTGGCGTTTTCCATGGATGTGCTTAGGCAGCAATTAGATATTCTAAAATCCCCAGAGCTTGCCAGTGGTCAGCCAGCAGGCAGAGCCTTGCACCAATAAGCGCACTAGCCACCCAAAGCCTAGGACTAGGTGACTGTCTGGCAGCAGTGACTTTGGTGCCCCAGCATTGGGTCCCGCTTGGCTGGGGCACCTCTGACAGCTGCCACACTGCAGGGAGCTACTTTTGCCCCAACCCCATTGCCAAACTGTTGTTTATATATTTAATATAGAGAGTAGCAAGCATAGATAGTGGTTGTAAGAAGGAACAGAAGATAGAAGCCTTGTGTCCTTGCAGCTTCTGTTCTCTCTGGCCCAGGGAATCAGGGACTCATTTTTTGTTGTTTACACCTCTATTATTAGTGCCGTTTCCCCATGCCTACAGTGATTGTCAAGCTTGCAGATATAAGATTCCCTCGGGGATCTTATTCATGGATGCCAAAGTAATGTCAGCAGAGATTGTTACTTATCATGTCACAAGAAGAGGTCAGGAAGCTGCATTTTCAGCTCACACACAAATGTGGCTGTGATGCAAGTGGTTGGTGGGAGCCTTGTGGCCCAGAGGTGTACCAGGAACAGGGTTTCTGCGGAATGAGTAAGAAACTGTCCATATGGCTTAGGCATCAGATTCGACTTACCAGTCATGAGAGAAACTGCAACTAAACAGCTTTATATATTAGGATTTGCGTTTGTTAAAGTCAGTTTTTAAACAGATTTTGAATTTACTGATGTCATGCCTTCTTTAAACCATTCAGATATAATTTTCTTCCTTAATAAAGCTTTAAAATATCTGACAATATTGGCTTTTGATCTTTCTCAGTTCATCATTTGCAAATTAAATTAGTACATAAAAATAGAAGCATATGGGTTTGAAGGAAAAAGCTAAAGTCCATTATTTGCACATATGACAAGCTACATAGTCTGATAAATTAATTCTCAAAAATTATTAGAGGATCTGGTAATATTAGTACATGCTTAAAAACTTAATAACAAAACTCTAAGCCTCTTCTTTACTATTAATTATTATATAGAAAATGACAAAATTCACACTAGAAATAATAACTACAAATTATCTGCTAAGCATTTAAACATAGAAATTATGAGACCTCATAAAAAAACTTAAAACTCCATTTAATAATGACAAAGATCAACAATTGTAGATATAAATATTTTTGAATGAGGACAACATAATAAAGATGCAACTCCTGTAATTATGTTGTAAATTCAATTTTGACAGCAGTAAAATTATACTTTATTTTTTAAAGTTAAAAATTAATTCTAAAATTTATATGAGGAAAAAGTCCATGAGCAAGAAAGGAAGGACAGAGTGGGCATTTGACTAAGATGCCCACATTCTATGTTCATGGCTCAGGTAACTGGGTTCCTGTTACCCATGTGGGAGACATAGGCTGTGTTTCCAGCTCCTACTTCCTACCCATCCCTAAAAAAAGAAAGGAAGAAAAGGAGAGATTCAGCCTATTCAATATTAAAACATAGTAAAAAAAAAAAAACATTGAAAAAATTAATGTGAAATTACTACGGTATTAACAAATGAACAAAAGGCCAGTGAATAGAACGTGGAAGTACAAGTACAGTCACATATTTGGGAAAATTTTATTTATTTATTTTACTTGAAAGTGGAAGTTCTGTGTCGCTGTCCCGCAGTGACGGACTTGGTGCACGGAGCCGATAATAACACGCGTGGACTCTGACTGATGGTCAAAAGCCAAAGTTTATTAGGGGCATCAGACTTTGTACTCTGAAAGTCCGTATGGGGTAGGGGAGGAAGTATCGAGCTCATAAACAAAACTATCAACTGTTTTCGCACTCTAGACTGGAATTCCTTTTGTCTTGTATATCGTGCTAGGTGTTCTCATTTACATGCTGTTTACTCGACCCGTGGGAACTATCTCCCAACAGGTATACAAAAGGTAGCCATTTGGTTGTTTTCATGCAAATACTGCCCAATGAACTGCAATCCTGTGCTGCTGGCCTTCCAGGCTCACAATGTCCTCCTACAGTTCTGGAGAGAGAGAGAGACAGAAAAAGAGAGATTGTTGCATGTGCTGGTTCAAACCCCAAATGGTCACAATGGCCAGAGCTGAGCTGATCTGAAGCCAGGAGCCAAGAGCTTCTTCTAAGTCTCCCACACAGGTGGAACCTTGGTCCATCCTGCACTGATTTTGCAGGCCATAGTAGAAAGGACATAAACCAGCACCTAGCATGAGTCACTATGTCATCCCTGGAACTTGTTACGAGATGAAGCTGTCACCATAGGGGAAAAAAAAAAAAAAGGAAAGAAAAAGCTTCCAACCACTACGCCATCGCATCGGGCCCCACTTTTATGAAACTCTTTATAAATGATGACAGATGTGGAACTGTTTAAGAAACTCCTGAAGATGGAGAAAGCTACCGAAAGGCAGTAGCTGTTTAGTCACCAATTAGTGCAGCAACGTGAAGAGAATAAAGATTGTGGAGACTTAAAATACCTAAATAGATATCTTGAACTTGCTACCTGCTGTGTGGATGACCTCATGGACGTACATTAAACCTGTCTGAACCCATTTCCTCATTTTCAAAGGAAGATGACAGTGTAGAGATTGCTCAGCATTCCTTGAGATGATGATCCAGGTAGGCCCACCTGAGCAGGGAATAGGTGCTCAGGGTTACTGCTGGGCCTTTCTGCACTGAGCCTTAGCATATAGTGGTGCTTTTCATAAATGCAATATTATTGCATTTTATTGGACTTTTTCCTTCCCATTTAAAATGGATATATTTGCTCCATGAACTGGCTCCTTCTCTGAATGTCCACAAACAGCAGTGCTGGACCAGGCCACAGCCAGGAGCCCAGCATTCAATCAGGGTTGGCCATGTAGGCAGCAGTATAACTGCACCTTCTAAGCTTGTAACTAACGATCCAGTTATACCTGTTGCCACCCATAGTCAGAGAATGCACCTTCCTTTTCCTCTTCACATTCTAATTAATAATGGCTAATCGCTTATCTTGTGATGAATAAGCATTTGTTTAATTCAACAGGCAAATAACACTTGCTTAACAATTTCAGAGACTATGAGAAGTGCTAAAACCACAGGACACGAGCAGCAATTGCAACCACCAAAGGGACCACTGCCCAACCAGTACCAAGCTGAGTCTGGAATGTGCTTGACCTAAAACTGAGCCTGTTATTTCCTCTATCCCCTCCCTCCAACACTTCCCTTGCTGGCTAAGGAAGACAGGGAAAGCCCGGTGAGACAGGAGCAGCCTTCCCTCAGCCCATCTCAGCCCACCTCACCCCAAGATCGCTGGTCTCTGAGGAAACCCACTTTCTACCAAGTCTCGTCTCTGGCCTTCCCACAGGGAGCAGCCCGTGTCGTCTCCCCTGTGTGAGCAGGGCTGCAAACCTTCCTCCTCCCAGGGTGCACGTTAGCAGGAAGCTGGAACTGCAAATCAGACTGAGACTCAAACCCAGGCACTTCAGTACCGGGTGGGGACATTATAAGTGGAGGTCTTGAACACTGAGCTGATTTGCTCTTGAACTATCCACTAGTAATTTATTGGATAAGTTTTTCTTTCTTTAGAAAATAGTTAAAATGAGACATTTACTGATGCAACCTCTGCCTTCCCCCAACATCACCCTAGTCTACATTCATCTTCTAAAGGAGTTGGTATTTACTAAAGTCCTACTATTTGGAAGTTAATAAGTTTTCCACTTCGTGGAGGGTTTGTTGTTGTTGTTATTTTTAAGAGACTTAAAAAGTTTTTTAAGGTAAAAGTTAATATCTTAGGGCCAGTGCTGTAGCGCGGGAGTCGGGAGTCCCTGCTGCCACATTTGGGATCCGGCTTGTCCCTCGTGTGCCTGTGAAAGCAGTGGAGGATGGCTTAAGTGCATGACCCCATGTACCCACGTGCTAGACCTCAAAGAAATGCCTGTTTCCTGGCTTCAGCCTGGTTCTGTTCAGGCTATCAGGGCATTTGGAGAGATAACCAATGGATCAAAAATTCTCTTTCTCTAACTTTGCTTTTCAGATATTAAGCCAGTCTGTCTCCTTCACTGGAATCCACAACCTCCCCACAAGACCAGCGCTGTAAGGCTTTCTCCCCCTTTCCACTATAAAGCTGTCAAACCGTTATTCCACCTGCCTTTGGGGGCTGTGGCCACACAGTCGTCCAAGCTCTCTGTACCCAGGGGTACCTCCGATAAAAGCGGGACTGAAATAGAGCTCCCCCCATCACAGCCCCTTGGAGGGAATTTTCAAGAGCAGTTGTGTAGCGTTTGTATACATCAGGGTGCCCAGCTGCTTCTACCTGGAGACACGCCCCGTTATTAATTAACCTGGAAGAGTAACCTTTGCCCCACAATGAGCCACAGACTCTTTATACACTTGTTGATCCAAGTAGCCTGGGACTTGGTTGCCCTTCTTCCCATCCCCACCCAAGTGAGGCACAGTGGTATGAATCCTCTGCAGGAGTCTCTAAGTGCCTGCCCCGCTCCAAACCCTTATCCCTCCCACCACTCCTCACCCTCCATTCCCGCCCGCCCCGCAGCCGCCTGCACCTTCCGATGAACCTCCGCGTTGACCCGACAGAGGCCGCCCGGCACCCTGCAGGTGTGCGCCCGGACTCCGTGCCCCCGAGCTGAGCCGGTCCTCAATACCCATACAGGGAGCCGGCTCCAATTTGGGGAGAAGCGAGATTCGGTTTTCCTTTCCTCAGGTGCTTCGTCACGCTTTCAACATTTCCGAAAACAGGAACGGGGACACAGAGAATGTGACCGTACACTTCAGGATAAAGATGCGAGGGGAAGCACGGACGTGTCCATCTAGCGTTGACGTCCTGTAGGGCAGACGGGGAAAAGCGGTCCCCACTTTCGACTGGTGGCGCAGTGATTGCTTCCCGGTCTCATTCCTCTACATGTGACCAGAATAAATGGGCGGACAGACAGACGGCTGCAGAAGCAAGGGGTGCATCGTGGTGCGGAGAAATCAGCGCTAGCGGGGAGGAGGGCCGGTGGGGCCTGGGCGGGCGGGCGCGGCCGCCGTCGGGGCGGGGCTCAGGGTGCGCGGGCTGCCGGGCAGCAAGTGCTCGGCAGGCGGGTTCCCTTTACAAGAGACACTTCTCGCCAGCGCTACCTCGCGGCAGACACCTCAGCCGAGCGGCAGCAGGCGCACCAAAGGGTTGGGCAGCAGGGCGAGCGCTGCAGCCGCACGCGATCCCGGAACGCAAGCAGGTGCAGCTGTCCCAAGTTTGGCGTCCTCCTCTTGACACTCGCTGTTGGAGCCATGCCTGGAGGCGTGGACACGGTGGACCTACCGGCGTGGAACCAAGCTTCGGGCCTGTCCCAGGGCCTCCGCCACAGGTCAGCACCGCCCGGGGGTCACGTCGGGGCTCTGCCACCCTTTCCATAGCACCGTTCGTTCCCCGGTTGCTTCCCCGAATTTTCCCGCGCTGGTACCTCAGCGCCATCTGCACAGTCCCACTCCCGACCCTGCCTCATTGCCTCTAACTCCCGAGGACACGGAGATGCCAGCTTGCTGACACGTGGAAAATGCCTCCTGGTACAAATCGAGAATCTCTCGGTTTGCCAGCTGCGACTGGGAGGAGGTGGTGACTGGGGCGGGGCGAGGCCGCCTGGCCACACTCCGCGTCCCGCCGGGGTGAGCACAGAGACGCCTTTGAACCACTGGAGCAGCATAGTTTGCACCGGGTGCTCGGCCTCTTGCCTGCAGCGGTCTGCGCGCACCGAAGGGTAGGAGGAGGAAGGGAGGCCCGGCCTGGATGGGGACTGTACCGGGAGAGGTTGGAATGGGTGTGCAGAGAGCCAATTTTCAGGTTCCCAATTCCTGAGGAGACGTCCTGATCATCCCTCTCCCTTGGCAAGAAACTCAGAGAGAAGATCAGGTGTTTGAAGATTAAAGTCGGGTGAAACATTGGAGCTACCGCTTTCAGCCTCTGAGAAATCCTCATTAAAGTTGCTTTACTGTCCTGGATTAGCGCTTTTCTGCCGCCTAGGGCGCTGGCTTCCGTTAACTGCTCGCACTCAGTTACTTGAGGTTGGGCCTGACCTTCCGGAACAAACAGGCCTTTTCTCAGGTGGGAGTGTGGTGAGCCCAGTTCCGAGGCCTGCGTGAAAGGCCCACAGTTTCGCCCAGGGCGTTGCCAAGGGGCCCGGCAGCCCTGTCAAAGCTCCATTCCTGCCAGTCTTGTGTGCCAGGGGGTGTGAGGTAAACCTCCTTGGCGCCCCTCTTCCTTGCTCTCTCAACACAAATACAGTGCAGGGTTGTTAGACGGTCTACAAATAGTGTTGAAACTTTCCTAAGTGGTGCTCCGCGTGTTATAAACAGACTTAGTGTTGGCAAGGGAGGCCTGAATTCATTTCCCAACATGAGTGATGTAGATTCAGATATATGAAAGTATTTCAGACAAGTTCATGGGAGATGTAACGAAAAGCTAAGTTGACTTTGTTGCACAACACTGAAATCCATGCATGGTTTTTCTGTAATACTCATCTCTTGTGACTCTTTTGAAGACTTCTTGTATTTTGATCTTTTGTTGTTGTTGGACTTTGAATGACGAATTTTAAAAACATAACTTTACTCTAACTTTTTGGACATCTGGATAACTGGACATCAGACGGAAGTGACTAAAGTCCTATACCTTATCAATGGTTCTCATGTTGAGGTGTTGATCTTTAATTGGCCAGGTGGTGAGCAGTTAAACATTCCTTCTACCTATCTTTGCTCTGAATGCACTGTCTTTAAGGTAGGCACAAATGGACTCTGGGTTTATTTACCTCCTGCTGGCTGGGCTGGCAAATGGGCTTTGTCTTATGGTGGGTGTGGTGTGTAATCTCAATTTTTATTTGACTCCAGTATTTTTCATAATACATTTCCTTCAGGACACAAATGTGTCTTTTTTTTTTTTTCCTTTAACCATATCCAGTGTCTCAGAAGCAGCTCCCATTATTAGGATAAAGGGCACACACTTCAGTGTGCAAAGTGAACAGCCTTTGAAGGTGTTCCCCTCTGAAATAGATATGTGTCGAGTTGTTTGGTACTGGGGAAAACAAGATTGTGTCAGTTGTAAATAGAAGATGGAAGAGCAGACTAGTAAGAGAGAAGCAGGAGAGCTTTTCCATGGCTGTCGGGACACAAATGTTTATGCAGAAGGGACCAACCATGAGAAGTCATCCTCACAGTTGGGATGGGACTCACACTGAGGACCTTCTCAGCACCTCTGTGACATGTTAACCAAAAAGCACAAGTTTTGGGGAGCACAACTAATGAGTCAGAGGTCTCTAGGGATTTTACTTCATCTTCCCCTTCACACCTGTGGAAGAGTAAACTCCCATTGCATGAGCGTTTAAGTCTCTAATAGCCCTCTCTCAACAGGTGCTGTGGTCTGAGCCCTGCAGAAACAGGCACATTTTTCATGCTTTGTTGGGCCATTCCCATTTAGAGGCCATTGTGATCATGGACCAAAACGTTGATAATAATAACTTGATGGTGATAAAAGATACAGGGTTTGAGATAGTTACACTCTTCTCTATAGAGGAAGTGTTAATTGTTAAAAACAAAACAAAACAAAACAAACAAACCCACACAACACCACATGAAGTGTTAGCTGCAAAATATCCTCAAGAAGCAACTAAAAAGGGTTAGGAGCAGTTTGAACAGAGAATACAGAACTGAAAGTCAGGAAAGAACTCATCCACGACTTGTCCTCTTTGGCCATCCCTTCTCTGTCAGTGAAGTGGAACAGAGACCAAGACAACTTGTGAAACTTGGTGAAGCACCAGGTGGCTTCTTGTGGTTCCAGTTTGTAAAGTAAAAATAGTGGTCACAGAAAACTCTTCTGGCTGTGTGAGTGGAAGGTGTGCCGGTGCTTGTGCTGGGCTGTTCCTGCAGCTGAGGCATACAGGTCCAGTTCCACATGTTGGCTCACAATGACTGGCTTTCTGTGAGCTCTGGCACCCTGGGTCAAGGGCTGCTGTACAGGAAAGTCATTCTGCTTCTGTATTTCTTTCTTTTGTTTAAAAAACCCTGCAGTATTCTGTTTGGTATTACATGTTTAAGGGCAAGTTTTGGGTTTGTTTATTTGGCAGCCCTTGGGGTTTGTTCTTCCCTACTTTTCTCAGCTTTCTTCCAAAGGAGCTTGTGCCTTTACTCCTTTTCCCTGGTGTGAGAGAACTCTTGTTCACCCTCCTTTCCCCTCCATCAGGTGAGGTGCTTCCTGCCTTTTTCTTTAATGGCTACATTTGAGTGCATCCAAAGAGGTTCAACCAAACAGTTGACTGGTGATGACTCCCGAAGTCAAAGCTCCTGGCAAGCTGTCCTAGATGGAGTTCAAGAAGACCACCATTTAGGTGGTTGGCTTAAACCAATCATACCACCTATACCAACTGCATCTTGGGCAATATGGCCCCAAGGTGGGCTGGTTGGAAATGAAGATGAACACTGAGGGAAGAAAGATGATTTCTGTATAAATCCTTTAACTCTTACTTAGGAACAGTCATCACCTCCTGACTTGCTGAGTAGCAGTTCCGCTTTCACTTGTTGCCCCTCCCTCCCAGCACGCACCCCTGCCCCGCCCAAGAGCTGATGGAAAGGAGCTGGTGGTATGTTCAGGACAAGCACTTTAAAAATGGGAGGCTCCACTTCTGCTTTCCTGGTGGTCTGAGGCAGCAAAACAGTGATTGGAGGTGATTTTATAGGAACTTGCTAGCTAGCCTGTTTTTAGGGAAATTCCTGAAAACTTGGCTTCCTCATCTCATGGGTGGCTCCAATGGAAAGTGAAAAGCCCCTTTGGCCTTCCATCAAAATGCCTGGGATTGAAATTACCAGGTCGTTAGTGGTCCAAGGGTGGTATTGAGGGGTAACCCAAATTTCCCTTTTTTGGCCTATTATTATTTTCCCCACTCAGTTTGTTTTGATGGGCACTCATTCTTTTGATGGGCACTCAACCACACATTCTTTTTGTCTTTTGCTCTTATGACCCTAGCAAGTCATGAGGAAATTAGTTCATTATAGGAATTGGAGTGAAAAAACAGCAAAAAGCAAGCAAACACAAAAAAAGCAAGATATCAGTTACCAGCACAGATTCAAAGCTTTCTGTCTGCTGGATTGCTGCGATGATCCTGCCAGGGCCAACCTGGCCATTGCTGTGGAAACACTGATTTTTAGTTTCTGCACATCTCTTCTCACTTTCTATCTCAGTACCCACCAAAAACTAAAGACAGTGAAATAACTAATTACTACTTTCTTCTTGAAATACTTAATTTAAGTAATAATGATAATTCAAGATGCATACATATAAATCACAAAAAATAAAGGAAACATTAAAATAAGAAAATTAATATCAGAAATTATCAAGATGTGTATATATATATGTACATATATATGTTTTTGCTATCTGCTGGCTTGTGTACTTCTAGACCAAGAATGTCTGAGTATAAATAGAAATTGTTGCAGTTTTTAAAAAATGGGATTTCACTTTGTTATTTAGAAAAAACTTGATGTGGGATAGGCACTTGGCTGGTGGTTAAGAGGCCTGCACTCTGCCTGGGGTATCTCTGCTGGATTCCCTTCTGTGGTTCCTTATCTGGCTTCCTGTTAATGCAGACCCTGGGAGGCAGAGGTGGTAGTCCAAGGAGAGATTCCTGCACTTTGCAAGTGTACAACCCAGGTTGAGTTCCCGGCTCTAGGCTTTGGCCTGGCTTTCAACAATTTGGAGAGTGAACCAGAGATGGAAGCTCTGTCCATGTGTCACTTTTTTTAAAAAAGAGAGTTTTGTTTTTTTTTTTTTTCAAAGTCAGATACACAGAGAGGAGGAGAGACAGAAAGGAAGATCCTCCACCCAATGGTTTACTCCCCAGGCGACCTCAGTGGCCGTCTGAATGCTGCACTGACCCAAAGCCAGGAGCCAGGAACCTCCTTCAGTTTTCCCACATGGGTGCAGGGTCTCAAGGCCTTGGGCCATCTCAACTGCTTTCCCTGGCCACAAGCAGGGAGCTAGATGGGAAGCAGGGCTGCCGGGATTAGAACTGGTGTCTACGTGGGTTCCTGGTGTGTTCAAGGTGAGGACTTTAGCTTCTAGGTTACTGCGCTGGGCCCTGTGTGTCACTTTTTTCCTCTGTGTCTCTGCCTGTTGGAAAAAAATCAACAGTATGTCATAGACACGTTCAACTAACACCCAGTTACAGGGTCGCCATGAGCATTTTCATCGCTCTCTTAGATCTGACCAGCAGAATCCTGATTATGAAATCACAAATCTGCAGATCCTGCCCAAAGGTCCTCTACAGGTGTTATTTTTTTTGTCACTAGAGTCTCTCCTGTGTTCTTGACAATAAAAACGACAGTA